CCTTCCCTTCCCTTCCCTTCCCTTCCCTTCCCTTCCCTTCCCTTCCCTTCCTCTTGATCCATTTGATCCATATTTTCCATATACAATATTTGTGTTGGAATTTGATCCTCATTTATTCTCTCTATATGGCCAAACCACCTCTACATACTTTTTTGTACTGGTCCCTTACTTTTCTATTCAATTCACATTCATTGCTGTCTCTCCTTCATGACCTTATCTTATCTTAAGTAACAATTGCACAATGCCACAAGCACAACCAAAGCTCAGTTTTATCCCAATCATGTACATGCTATTCTATACAAGCTTGGATCTCTAATCTAGATTACTTTGCAAACTAATCTTCCTCATCCCACAAATTAGAAGGTACCTGCAGCACGCATATACAATGATATATCTTCAAGAATACACATACACATACATACATACACACACACACACACATACCTATATACATACACACATGCACCTATATATATACAGTATATTCAATCTTTTTCATAATCCAAGTAAAAAGTGGTATGAAAGCATCAATAAGCTAGTGTGATCTGAATGTTACTCTGTCTTTTAAGAAGGTAATCAACAATAAACCATTTGGGTTACTCACATATTATATAATTAGCATCTTTCAAGTGTCTTGGGTCCAATAACATTTTACACTTCATCTGTTTGCTTCCCCTGTTCCCTTAAGTCAACTCCTTTATTCTTCATTTCAGCCAGTGTTCACAATTATAAAATCTTTTCCCCATCCCACCCCTCAGTTGTGGAGCTTGCTATTCCTCAAAGCCCCATATAATAAAATCATAAATAAATAAACTGAAAATGAGAATAGGTAACTGAGTCAGCCAGAAAGAAATGTTTTGAAATATTCCATATATTAAAATTTCTTACTCCACCATTTTAGTAAGGGAACCACTTAAAAATGGTGTCAATGTTTTGAGACTTTTTTTAAAGAGAGAAGAAATTTTTATTTAGAGAGGAGATAGACTCAGAAAACTATTACATCTGGAAATGTGGTAAAGGAAAACATTAAATTTATAGGTAATGATGCTTTGTGGATTCCCCCCCCCCCCTGTTTTTTACAGCTAATGAGCGGACCATTTCTGCAGAGTCTCCAACAGTTTGCCAAGGATTCTATCAATGAAGAGACAGTTGAATTATTGCAGCCTTATTTTCAGATGGAAGATTATACTTTTGAGAATGGCAAAAAAGTCTGTGGTAATGTGGCAGGGCTACTTTCTTGGACACTGGCCATGGCAACATTTTATGGCATAAATAGAGATGTATTGCCTCTTAAGGTAAAAAAAAAACATGATTTCAATGCATTTCTAGTTAATAAGAAGAAAACTATTACAAACTCTTATTATCATTTCTGTCTACACAGAATGACTAGAGACATTAAGTCTCCCATCTACTTTCAGTTTCATAGACTTTGTAACAAATCTTTCAACTACCCTTGAAAAATTGATACATTTAATTAAATATAGTGACAAATTGAAATGAGTTCTTCAACTGCATAGTGTTACAAGTAATGGTAATTAATTAAAATGCAAAACCACTAAAATACATCAGTGATGCCTTTCCTTCCTTCCTTCCTTCCTTCCTTCCTTCCTTCCTTCCTTCCTTCCTTCCTTCCTTCCTTCCTTCCTTCCTTCCTTCCT